TTTGTATGATTGTGTACTTTACCTTTTCTTCTATTCTTTTTATCGTATTTTTAAAATTACAAATTTTATAAATTCAAACTTTAAGAAATAATGATTTTTACACATTGTTTAAGATGGTCGAAAAATTATCTTCAATTACTAGTCCCAAGTTACCGCCAAAATAGTAATTTGTCTTTTACATTATTATATCATTTTCAATATACATAATGTATATAACAACAAAAATATTAAGTATTAGTTATAGAAAATTTTACAAAATTTATATCAAATATTTAAAAACTGTAATAAAATACTTAGTTTAATGATAAACTTGGTATAAAAAATTAACTAACTATTAAAAAATTTGTTTAAACAGTTAAATCACCTATGTTATACATGAGTAACGATAGGAAACAAAGTAATTTGAGTGATTATATTGTTTGGCTAGATATGGAAGTATGTTAATAATATAATTTTACATAATAAGTTATACTTTTAATGATATTAATTTATTATATCTATTTTAGATGACTGGACTTGATGTAAATACATCCCACATTTTGGAAATAGCATGCTTAATCACTAATAAAGATTTAAAAATTATAAGCAAAGATTTAAACATTATTACGTACCAACCAGATGAGATATTAAACAATATGGATAGTTGGTGTTTAGCAACTCATCAGAAAGTAAATATCAAAATTAATGTATAATAGACACAAGTAAGTTTAAAAATAATGTATAAACCCTTATACATTATCTTTTTTATATTTCTAGAATGGATTAATTAATGAATCATGTCTAAGTAAAATTACAGTACAAGATGCTGAACAAATTATATTAAAGTATCTAAAATCATATATAGAAGAAGGAACATGTCCACTAGCAGGAAATTCAGTTTATATGGACCGTATGTTCTTACAGAAATATATGTCATCAGTTAATAATTATTTACATTATAGAATTATTGATATTTCTACTATTAAAAGCTTAGTTATGTAAGTATTATTTTTTATATATTATATTTTATATATTTGATGAAACAATATATTATTATGTTAATTTTAGGAGGTGGAATACAAATATACCTATTCCAGAAAAAAATTCTAATCATAGAGCATTGCCTGATGTAAAAGAAAGCATAAAAGAATTACAATATTATAAAAATAATATATTTGACCTATGTGTTAAATGAATATGATCATGAACATTATCTTCCAAAAAGTAACACTAATCAATAAATATTAAAAATTATAGAAAATTATGCTGTAATACAATATATATTAAATTCACTATTTAAATTTAATTTTTGAAATATATTAAATATTTATTTTTATATATATATAATTATTAATCAAATTTATCATTTAAAGTTATAGGATGGTTTTGTATAAATTCAGATATACATATATTTCAAACTTAAGGTATTAATTGTTACAGTAATTTTTATTCAATCCAAATTTGATTATCAATAAAGGTTATTTATCTCTAAGTTCTCTTTTTTCTAGTATTTTCTATATTAAGTTAAAAATAGTAAATAGAATAATCTTTTCTTTGAAAAAAATTTATTTACAAGGAGAGTGCAAGTCCTTCAGGTCACCGATTTAGTTGAAACTTTGCAGGTTTGTAGATATCGTCATGCAGTTTAAGAAAATATATCATTATAGCCGCAGCTACTCAATAATTTTTGAAGTATTTGCGATTAAAGTTTTATTACTTCCCTAATTATAAATTTATTTCCATCGTGTTTCAATTTAAGTTGTAGGGTAACGGTGAGGATCGAGAATTACTATAATGGAAGACTGGGGTTCCATTCCCATCCATAGTTTTTCAATATATTTTTTATTTTGTTTTCATTTTTCGCCTATGAAAACATTGTAAATACACAATTATAAATAAAATTTCTTAATAAGAAAAATTATTTTTACGCTTTCTTATGCTAGTATATATTTATTACAAAATAATAAGAATATTATGCAAGAAAAATACTCTTCTATAGCAATCTTATTTACTACACGAAATACAAAACCTATCACTCATGTAAGTATTAATTATTAAATTAAACATCCTATAAGAATGTTGCTTATAATTCCAACTTTGCTGTGCAGCTATAAATGTTCATGAATTAATTACAAAAACTTGGAAATTTATTAATTTTCTACTATCGAATAAATACAAATTTTACCGCCTGGGATCAGCGCCATCTATGATTTGGGCTCAAAAATCAAGAAAGTGATAGGAATATAGGATAGGCAAGGAGGTCAACGATGTGCTGGTCACGTGGTAGACAAGGACAGAGAGGGGATAGAAAAGGATAGAATGGCTCCGGCAGTGAAGAATTATTAATTACTC